AATACGCACATTCATACACACTTTCGGCTTTAAATACAGGGAGATTACATCTTTCTGAAACACGAAATAAACATTCTGCATTGTAATGCAACACAAATTGGTAAAACGCCTGCATGTTGCCACATAGTATGTGCTGTTAGGAAAACTGAAAGTCGCATAGCTCTAAAGGGAAGTGCGTGTTCAGTGCTTAGAATTAAAAAACATACACAATCTCCTCGAACTAACTACTCTTGATTTCATAAAAGAAATAAGATCGGTAAAAAGCACGCCACAACGAAGTGCGTTTTTGTCGATCGCATTAACAACTTTGAACTTATCGTTTATAGTAATAAAGATCAAAGGACACAAAATAGGGTAATCTTGCGCTTGTATTTCCCAAGCTTAAGTTCTTTTTAGTTTCCCACTCATTTATCTGTTACAAAAGTAATTATTGTTACAGAATTCTGAGATCTCCGATCCCGTGTACATTCGTGACGAGAGTGTTGCATCAGATTTCATTCCACTTCCAAGAGTCCGTTCTGAAGTTTGTTGAAATGTCTTTCATAATGACTGAGTTCTTTGAAAAGAAAGTGTTTTTTTAGAGCAATCTGAATGCTGATTCTCGTATTGAGGAGCACTTTATTGGAGTCCGAAGTAGTGACGAGGTATTCAGCAAAAATTATCATATATTTCTTACTGTCACATAGCATTGTAATATAGGGTAGGTTCTCTCATGGCAGACGATACTTGAGGTCTGTTGTGCATTCCCGTTGCAGGCATGCAGTGCATATATACCAAAAATTGTAAATTAGAAAGAGGAACAGGCCAAGGCTAACATTGCTGGACCAATACTTTTTTCGTTATTTAAAGGAAAATTATTTAAGTTATCGAAGTTACCGATAGTTTTATATTCAGCCCAATGTATAAACGTAAACTACCCCACTCATTCAATTATTTATTTAAAAAATAGTTGATTTGACAAGATTACGAATGTTTGCCACGTCCGCATGCAAACTAATTCTGCATGAGAACACATTAAAATATATCAAGGGACTTGGGGCAAGTCTGTATTTCTTCTAGGCTGCCGCTGCAGTGAAGCCGGATGATTTTGCGCTCTACTACAAATATGAGGGCGGCACGAGTGTTTGCTCTACTATCCCACTTTATCTCGTTCACAGAAACACTAGAAATGAGGTATACACGGGTGGAAGAGTGAATTTTTTACTTGCTTTTGTTGTGATTTTCAGATTTATCACTTTCCTGTGAGACGACTGGACGGAGGAAATGGCACGAAATGGTGGCATGTACAAATTGGGAACAACAAGATGCAATCGGTAAGGCTTCTATACTAAAACAAACCTTTCACAAATTTTGAAATTTTATCATCAGTTCCGCCAACTCTCCGATCTT